TTGAAGATTCGATTTTTATTTTTCGGTTTTTAAATTGTAGATTTTCAAATTTTTCATTTTTTCGATTTTTCATTTTTTCAGTTTTTCGATTTTCAGTTTTTCGACATTTCTATTTTCAATTTTTCGATTTTTTAAGTTATATATTTTTCGATTTTTCATTTCTTCAATTCGTCAATTTTCCAATATTTCAGATTTTCGATGTTTCAATTTTTCAATTTTATAAGGTTTTGATTTTTCGACTTCACTTTTTTGAGTTTTCGATTTCGCAATTTTTCAACTTTTCAGTTTTTGTATTTTTCAGTTTTTCTTTCATTTTTCAGTCTTTGGTATTTTTCAGATTATTTATTATTCAATTCTTCGATTTTACAATTTCTCAATTTTTCAATTTCTCGATTTTCAATATTTCGATTCTTCGACTTATCGATTTTTAATTTTTTTTACTTTTTCGATTTTTCGATTATTCATTTCAATTCTTGGATATTTCAATTTTTCAATTTTTAAAAAATTTCAAATGTTTCGATTTCTTAATCTTTCGTTTCTCCGACTTCTCGGTTTTGGATTTTGTTTTTCAATTTTTCGTTTTTTCAAATTTTCGATTTTTCAATTTCTCATTTTTAAAATTTTTCAATTTTTCATGTCTCAGTTTTAGGATTTTTCAATTTTACGATTTTTAAATACTTCAATTTTTCAATTTTTGATTTTTATAAACTGTCAGATTTTTGATTTTTCAATTAAACGATGTTTCGATTTTCCAATTCTTCAATTCAATTTTTAGATTTTTCAGGTTCTGAATTTTACAATTTTTCGATTTTTTTTAAGGTTTCGACTTTTCAACTTCACTATTTTGATTTTTGGATTTTTCAGTTTTCAATTTTTGAGATTCTTTTGGACATTTCAGTTTTGGGAGTTTTCAGTTTTTCTTTCATTTTTCAGTTTTTTGATATTTCAGTTTTGGGATTTTTCAAAATTTCGATTCTTCAACTTTTCGATTTTTAACTTCTGGATATTTCGATGTGGTGATGCTTTTTATTTTTTCGATTTTTAAGTTTTAGATCTTTGGATTTCTCGATTTTTCATTTCAATTCTTCGATATCTCACATTTTAAAATTTTTTGATTTTTCGATTTATGGAGATTTGGATGTTTCCATGTTTTAATTGTTCAATTTCTCGGTTTATCAAAGTTTCAATTTTTAACTTTTCGAATTTTCGACTTGTCAACTTCTCGATTTCTCGATCTTTTGATTTTTCGATTTCTCGTTTTTTTTTCTTTGTGGATTTTCAGTTTGTCGATTTTCCAGTTTTTCGATGTTTTGATTTTTTAAATTTTGGAGTTTCGATTTTTTTATTTTTCGCTTTTTAAATTGTACATTTTCAAATTTTTCATTTTTTCGGTTTTTTGATTTTCAGTTTTTCGATATTTCTATTTTTCAATTTTTCGATTTTTTAAGTTATATATTTTTCAATTTTTCATATCTTCAATTCGTCAATTTTTCAATATTTTAGATTTTCGATGTTTCAATTTTTCAATTTTTTAAGGTTTTGATTTTTCGACTTCACTTTTTTGACTTTTTGATTTCTCAATTTTTCAACTTTTCAGTTTTTACATTTTTCTGTTTTTCTTTCATGTTTCAATTTTTGGTTTCTCAGATTATCTATTATTCAATTTATCGATTTTACAATTTCCCAATTTTTCAATTTCTCTATTTTTAATATTTTAGTTTTGGGATTTTTTAATATTTCGATTCTTCGACTTATTGATTTTTGACTTTTCGATTTTTCGATTATTCATTTCAATTCTTCGATATTTTAATTCTTCCATTTTTCGAAAATTTCAAATGTTTCGATTTCTTAATCGTCCGTTTTTCGACTTCCCGGTTTTTGATTTTCTGTTTTTCAATTTTTCGCTTTTTCAAATTTTCGATTTTTCAATTTTTCATTTTTAAAATGTTTCAGTTTCTCGATTTTCAGTTTTACGATTTCTCAGTTTTCCGATGTCTCAGTTTTAGGTTTTTTCAATTATACGATTTTTAAATACTTCGATTTTTCAATTTTTGATTTTTATAAACTTTCAGTTTTTCGATTTTTCAATTAATCGATGTTTCGATTTTCCCATTTCTTGACTCTTGATTTTTTCGATTTTTCAGTTTTTCAATTCTTTAATTTTTCTATTTTTTAGGTTTTTGATAATTCAATTTTTCACTTTTTCTTTCATTTTTCAATTTTTCGAAATTTTAGTTTTGGTATTTTTCAATTTATTTATTATTCAGTTTTCCGATTTTACAATTTTTCAATTTTTCAATTTCACGATTTTCAATTTTTGAATTTCTCAATTTTCCAATGTTTCAATTTTACGTTTTTCGAATTTCTCTCCTCTTCAATTTTACGATTTCTAAATGTTTCGATTTTTCAATTTTTCCAATTTGACTTCTATAAACACTGTTTTTCGATTTTTCATTTCTTTAATTCTTCAGTTTTTCAATATTTAAAGGTTTTGATTTTTCGACTTCACTTTTTGACTTTTTGATTTCTCAATTTTTCAATTTTTGAGTTTTCCCATTCTTCCGGTTTTCTTTCAAATTTCAATTTTTCGAAATTTCAGTTTTGGTATTTTTCAGATTATTTTGTTATTCAGTTTTTCTTTTTTTTACAATTTCTCAATTTTTCAATTTCTCGATTTTCAATTTTCCGATGTTTCAGTTTTACGTTTTTTCATTTTTTCGCCTCTTCAGTTTTACAATCTTTAAATATTTCAATTTTCTAATTTTTCAGTTTTTGACTTTTCTAAAATTTGAATTTTTCGATTTTTCAATTAATCGATGTTTTGATTTTCCCATTCGTTCGACTGTTACGATTTACCAGTTCTTGAGTTTTTAGATTTCTCAGGTTTTTGATTTCATAATTATTCGATATTTTTTAAAGGTTCCGATTTTTCGACTTCACTCTTTTGATTTTCCGATTTCTCAATTTTTCAGTTCTTTAGATTCTCAGCTTTGGCATATTTCAGTTTTTCTTTCATTTTTCAGTTTTTCAATATTTCGATTTTTCGACTTTTCGATTTTTGACTTCTGGATTTTTCGATGTGTCGATTTTTTTTATATTTTCGATTTCTCAGTTTTTCGATTTTTAAGTTTTAGATGTTTCGATTTCCCGATTTTTCATTTCGATTTCTCGATTTTTCATTTCAATTTTTCGATATTTCACTTTTTCGAATTTTTCAATTTTTTGGTTTTTAGATTTATCGAGATTTGAATGTTTCGATGTTTTGATTGTTCAATTTCTCGGTTTATCAATGTTCCAATTTTTACCTTTTTGAGTTCTCGATTTCTCCATCTTTTGATTTTTTAAATTTTGGAGTTTCGATTTTTTGTTTTTCGGTGTTTAAATTTTAGATTTTCAAATTTTTCATTTTTTCCATTTTTTGATGTTTCGATTTTTCGATTTTCAGTTCTTCGATATTTCTGTTTTTTTAAGTTTTCGATTTTTTAAATTATACATTTTTCGATTTTTCAATTTTTCGGTTTTACGATATTTTTATGTTTCGATTTCTTGACATCTTTTTTTTCGAATTTTAGATTTCGCGATTTTTCAGGTTTTCAAAACATATAAAAATAATTACATTTCCCCGAAAAAAATCTAGTGGATTATTATATTACGTTTTTAACATTATTGTTAATTTAAGACGTTTTTCTAGTATAAAACACAAAGAATTAATTCTTAACTAAAGAAAAAAATGAGTGAAACTTGGACAAGGACATGTGATGTTATATTTGTAAATAAAACCATCTAAATATGTGGCAAAAATATTCACTTATTCATCATGAAATCCGACCGAACAACTATTTCTAGCAGAAATTATAGTCCAAATGAACCAAATCGCTTCTGAACGCTTAGAGTCGACATTGGCTTGAGCGCGCTCTGGTCTGTAGATCAAACAAGTTCTCAGGCGACGATATGTAATGGAAGACTTATATGTCGGCAATAAGTGAGGATAGGATAGCGGTGTTAAAGCATGTTTGTTCATTTACACAGTTTAAATGTGGATTATTAACAGATTTATAAATTTCTAAAATGACGAAGAAGTTAAAAGAAGTACTTTTATTGAGGACGTGTAAAACTTTAGCGTTTTTAACTGGGTGGAAGGAATGAGTGGATTCTAAAATGTGGATAGCAAAAGCTCAGTTAGTGTTTGTTATACCTGAATCTAAGTACTGGGAGATTAGTCTATTATGTTCTTTAATTCTCAAACTGATTTTTCTAACAGATCGACCAATGTACATAGTAGGCCAATCAGAGCAAGAAAAAAATGGAATTGAGTCTTTGTTTCGGACTAAAACTTGAAATGAAATTGTAGTGGATCTATTAATTTGAAAAAAAGACATGGATTTCTAGCAAAACAGGAAATGTATATAAGAAACCATACATTGCGAGAAAAATAAATACTTATAACAAAAGTTATGATTTTCTTTTAAAAAACGTGCCAACTCCGACGCCACATCAAAACTTTCAAAGTCGCTCGTAAAATATAATCCGCATAAAAACCGAATCGATAAGTTTGAACGTTTGTGTCTTCACCAACACACTATTCCATCTTAATACTCCCCAGCCACCCTAGCTGTTCGCACCCCTCACCCCTAATTGCCAAATTTCCCGTAAAAATTCTAATCAACTCCCCCTCTGCAATCACAACTCAATCAGTGCGGTCACGCTCGTCGCCCTCCCTCAACACCGGCGCAACAGTTGCATTCTAGCCGAGCTCAACCCTGACCCACATTCCCAACCTGAAAATTCCCCGGAACCCCCGGAAAGGCCGGCAGCGGTCCCGTCACCCGGCATGGGTGCCTGTCCCATCCGTCCATCATCCCCGTCCCAGGCAGGTGAAAACGCCGTCTGTAGACAGAAGTAGAGCAGGCGCGTTGGCTTGTCAGGTAGAGCTAAAGGGAGCCGGCCGTCCGGGCCAACAGAATAACCGCGCAGCTCATCCAGTTTGCGAACCGGCGACCGTCGCTGCCGTCGAGACGCTCTTCAACAGGTGCTGCTGCTGTCTACATAGTGCATGTGCGCCGCGCCGACACACATCGCATAATTTGCTGGCACGTTCTCGGGAACGGCTCGCTACGTAAAGGTACGCATTTGCACTTAGTATTCGGGAGTTGTTCAACTTTCGGTGAAGAAGTCGAGGAAAGGCCGCTGGAGCGAAGTTTTTATGGGAGTTTGGCGCTCGGTAAGTTGCGGCGGGAGGGGGGTGTAGATGTTATTTTTAATTGCAAATCTGCATATGCAAAAATAAAAACGAAAATTTGACTTTAAGAAAAATCAGGTTTTGAAACTTTATTATATACAATATAATATTTTATTAAAATTACTGTAACATAGAAAATTGACTCATGTTCTTACAAAATCTCTTCGACGGAGAATGTTACGCTCCACGCTGAAATTGAGGTTTATTTAGTAATATCTTCAGACGCCGTCACTAATTTTTTCGAAGGACAGACAAATTTTTGTTGGCATTTTGGCATCTAAAGCATGAATCTTGAGTGCATTACAAAAGTTCAGTGATGAGTTTGCAACATTGTTCGTGGTTCTTTGCACTTTGGACAGAGGTTTTTCGTAAATTTTATATTCATTTTCAATTACACACTTATTAATGAAATATTAGATAATAGTCAAAATTTATTAATAAACAATTATTTTTATTTGATCACGTTTGAAATTATTCGCAGTTTGTTTTTTGTCGGATGAATTTTCTAAATTGTTGTTTTCTCTAAAATTTTTTCAACAAATCTGATACTTCCAATTTTTTATTTTTTTATTTTTAAATAAGAATGTTTGACATTAAATTTACAATAATGCATTGACATATTTTTCAAAGAATATCTTAAAATCATGTATGTGTCCTTTGTCTTCTAATTTGACTTTTCATAATTCTAAATTCTCAGTTATTTTGTATTTATTTTGGTTAAGTATTTTATTTCTTAGTGAATTGTTTTTCTGTGAAAAAGTAAGGTCAGCTCAACCCAACTACAAAGCATGATCATCATTTTTTTTGTGGTTATGATTATTCTAGAGAATGACCGATTGATATGAAAGTTTTTATTTGTGTTTTTTTAATTTTTTACCTTCAACATTAAAATCTTCGGAAAAAGATAAAAATAAAAAAACTTCTCTGGTCGTTGAAGTATGGTCGAACAAATTTCGCTTTTTCAAAAACTTATGAAATTAGATTTTGCAATTTTCGGTTGGTGACACTAGAAACCAGTGGCGTAAATAACATGTAAAAAAATAAATATATTATTTAAAGCAGACAACTAACGGGAAAAAATGTAGATGTTCTCAATTTCTCAGTACATGCTTAACTTTGACTGTTTATGTTTATATACCGGGTGTTTGGAAAATAGCACTAAAATTGGCAACACTGCACGCACCTAATGCATGAATACCTCCGGCCTCCTTTCTGATTTCTTAGTAACGACGGTGTCATTTGCCAAAACCAGTCTTACCTTGGCAGGTACTAGGCCCGCCCACCCACCCTCTCTTTTCATACAGGGTATTTCATTTGCCAAAATCAGTTTTATCTTAGCAGCTACTAGCTAGGATAAGACCGATTTTGGCAAATAACATACCCTCTAATAAAAGAGAGGGTGGGTGGGCGGGGCTAGTATCTGCTAGCATAAGACTGATTAGAGGCTCCAAAGCACTTTCAAATTTTTTCCAATCAGGAATACCTAGAACCTCAAGATTGTTAGAAATTTTTCAAAAGAAAACGGGGTCCCAAAATTAACTCAAAAACAAGTCAGATCAGAATTTTCAGAAAATAGAACACCTAAGTCCGCCAACATTGTTTTAAATAATTTATAAAAAAAATCTCCATGGGCTCACAAATACACCATGGGTAACTAAGAGTCTCCCGAATTAAAAAAAAAAAAAATAGTGCGGCACTGAAGACTTTTTCAGATTCATAAAAATAAATCACTAAAAGCTCAAAAGATTTTTTCAAGTTCATCCAGCAACAAAATACCAGATTTCTTTAAATTTATCGGAAAATAAAACACCAGGGGACCTAAAATTAATGTGAACATTTTAAACGTAGGGTTTTGAAATGTTTGCAAAGTTTTCCCCGAAAACACTCATAAATTTGAATAGTTTTTTGGGGAGACCATAAATAAATAAATTTTAAAAAACGATATATCAGGCTTCCTATAACCCTAAAACTTTTTTTCTTATTAAAGCTGGAAGAAGTAACTTATTTTATAAAATTTCAAGAGTATTTACTGATTTACTGTTTCCAGATCTTATACAGTTTCTTGTTTCCAGAATACAGAATTTTTAACGTTTCTAAAGTTTAAAAAAATTTCAAAGTTGCTACGTGCCTAGAACTTCCACATATCGAAAGTTTCGGAAGTTTTCAGACATTCGAAATTTTCCAAATTTCAAAACTTTTCGAAGTTGACGGTTTCCAAATTGTTAGTTTTTGGATTTTATAGAATACTCAAAGATTACAGGGTTTGTAGAGTTTTTAGATGTACCAGTTTCTATTTTCATTTGTATTTTCAAAATTTGAAGGCTTGCTATTTTTTGTTTCCAGAATACAGAATTTTCAAAGTTTGCAAAGTTTAGAAAGATATCAAAGTTGCTAGAGGCCCTAAAGTTTTCATGTTTCTAGTAACTGCTACGATAAGACTGATTTTGGGAAATGAGATTTCTCTGAGAAAATAGAGGGCGGGTGGGCGGGGCTAGTCTCTGCTAAAATCAGTTTTATATTAGCAGTTACTATCCCCACCCACCCGCCCTCTCTTTTTTTAGAAGGCATCTCATTTGTCAAAATCAGTCCTATCCTAGCAGGTATTAACCCCGCCCACCCACCCTCTCTTTCCTTAAAGAGTAGATCATTTGCCAAAATCGATCTTAGATTAGCAAGTACTAAACTCACCGCCCTCTATTTTCTTAGAGGGATCCCATTTGCCAAAATCAGTCTTAACTTGGCAGGTACTAGGCCCGCCCACCCACCCTCTCATTTTTTAGGGGGTATGTCATTTGCCAAAATCAGTCTTATCCTAGCTAGTAGCTGCTAAGATAAGACTGACTTTGGCAAATGACATACCTTCTAAGAAAAGAGAGGGTGGGTGGGCGGGGCTAGTATCTGCTAGGATAAGACTGATTTGGCAAATGATACCACTCTAAGAAAATAGATTGTGGACGGCTGGGGCTAGTACCTGCTAAGATAAGACTAATTTTAGTAAATGATTTATCCTCTAAGAAATTTAATTAAATTATTATAAGAAAAGACACTAGAGGCTCCAAAGCACTTTCAGATTCTTTCCAATCAGGAATACCTAGAACCTCAAGATTTTTTGAAATTTTTCAAAAATAAAATGGGGTCCAAAAATTAACTCAAACAGGTCAGGTTAGAATTTTCGAAAAATAGAACACCAAAGTCCGCCAAAATTGTTTTAAATAATAAAAAAAAAATCTCCATGGGCCCCCATTTTTCAGATTCATAAAAAATAAAACACTAAAAGCTCAAAAGATTAATTACTTGCGAACATTTTAAACGTAGGGTTTTAAAAAAGTTTGACAATTTTTGATACGTCAAACATTGTTAGCATGTTCAGAGCATCAGCGATTAAAATAAAATGAAATTTGATTGATTTTGTCCCATCAAAGCAGAGGATAGGAGTAATTAACTAATTAACAACACTCAGTTTTTTCTCCAAAAACACTGATAAATTTGAATCCTTTTTTGGGGAGACTATAAATGAATAAATTTTGAGAAACGTTATATCAGGTTTCTTATAACATTAAAAAATTAACATTTTTTTTAATTAAATTTGGATGTTTAGGGTAAAACAACCACAAGTGCAGAAGTATCTTGTTTCATAAAATTTCAGTAATATTTACTAATTTACTGTTTCTAGATTTTATAGAGTTTTAGTTTCCAGAATACTGAATTTTCAACGTTTTTAAAGTTCAAAAAAATTTCAAAGATGCTACTAGATACTTAGAAGTTCAGGTTTTGAAACTTTATTATATATAAATAATATAATATTTTATTAAAATTACTGTAACATAGAAAATTGACTCATGTTCTTACAAAATCTCTTCGACGGAGATAAATGAGAATTTTACGCTCCACGCCGAAATTGAGGTTTATTTAGTAATATCTTCAGACGCCGTCACTAATTTTTTCGAAGGATAGACAAATTTTTGTTGGCATTTTAGCATCTAACCATGAATCTTGAATGCATTACAAAAGTTCAGTGGTGAGTTTGCAATATTTTTCGTGGTTCTTTGGACTTTGGACAGAGGTTTTTCGTAAATTTTATATTCATTTTCAATTACACAATTATTAATGAAATATTAGATAATAGTCAAAATTTATTAATAAACAATTATTTTTATTTGATCACGTTTGAAATTATTCGCAGTTTGTTTTTTGTCGGATGAATTTTCTAAATTGTTGTTTTCTCTAAAATTTCTTCAACAAATCTGATACTTCCGATTTTTTAGTTTTTTATTTTTAAATAAGAATGTTTGACATTAAATTTACAATAATGCATTGACATATTTTTCAAAGAATATCTTAAAATCATGTATGTGTCCTTTGTCTTCTAATTCGACTTTTCATAATTTAAATTCTCAGTTATTTTGTATTTATTTTGGTTAAGTATTTTATTTCTTAGTGAATTGTTTTTCTGTGAAAAAGAAAGGTCAAGTTAGGTTAAGTCGGGTCAGGTCAACTTAGGTCAGATCAGGTCAGCTCAACCCAACTACAAAGGACGATAATCATTTTTGTGGTTATGATTATTCTGGAGAATGACCGATTGATGTGAAAGTTTTTATTTGTGTTTTTTTTTAATTTTTTACCTTCAACATTAAAATCTTCGAAAAAAGATAAAAATAAAAAAACTTCTCTGGTCGTTGAAGTATGGTCGAACAAATTCCGCTTTTTCAAAAACTTATAAAATTAGATTTTGCGATTTTCGTTTGGTGACACTAGAAACAAGTGGCGTAAATATCATGTGATAAAAAGAAATATATTATTTAGAGCAGACAGCTAACGGGAAAAAATGTAGACATTCTCAATTTCTCAGTACATGTTTAACGTTGACTGTTTATGTTTATATACCGGGTGTTTGGAAAATAGCACTAAAATTGGCAACACTGCACGCACCTAATGCATGAATACCTTCGGCCTACTTTCTGATTTCTTAGTAACGATGGTGT